CTGATAAAAATCAACTCTTCTAAATAAAGGCTAATCAGTAGCATAAATAAATATTCTTTTGAACATTTACCATAATATTGAGTTCACAAGTGCACTAGAAAGAGAATTTTTTTAAGTAAGATAAAACGCTTTTCTTTGATCTTACTGAGTTTATTATAAATATGTCAAGTAGATCTTTAACATAATAATATTATCCTCAAGAAGATCGAGAAGATTTTGTATAAATTCTAGAAAAAAAATGCTCACTAAAAGGACATGTCTCCACTTTATGTGGCTTAACTGCTGAGGATAGTCGAGCGAGTCCAAAGCGTATTGATGGGACCGGAAGTAGGCGGAACTGCAGGCTGCGCTTCTGCATTGTACAAAGAATTTTGGTACACTATACTATTTAGAATTTTTTCGAACATGTATGTATGAAGTATTGTACAGGTGTGAGAGAAGCGCTCGAAGGTAGTGAGCCAAAAAAAAAAAGACATTCGATATCCTTAATGCTGTAATAGTAAAAATAGTCTGTGTCTGCGAGTTTGCTTATTCGCTTGAAGAAGTTTACGAAAGCTCTCAAATTCTCTCAGTGCGTGAGCCAACTGAAGAAAAAGTATCAGCGTTCTTTAAAGATGCATGCGATTCAAGGAAATGTAAACAGGAAATAAAGAGGTTGCAATTTAAAATTTTTACGCTATTTTGTTTTCCTTTGATTCTTTGAATATTTGAATGGTTTATTAAATTCTGTTTCCTTTTAGGAATATTTTACAATTTAAAAAATGTAATAACTAGATATTCTTTTAAATTCATTGGACGTTTTTATAAATTCATGGAATTTTTTTTTTATTATTTCAATTTTCCTAGTATCAATTAGCTTGGAAAATATAAATTGCCTTAATTGTTTACAGTTAAATAGATGAATGCTACCTAAACCGGAAGCTAGAACCTTTCATTTTTTCTGGAAAAGTCATTCGAGACATTCATTATGTTTTATAAGATGCCATCTGTGAGTTTCTCTTGGCACGTGCGTACCTAGTTTTGAATCATTGTTCAAATTTGTCACTTTTTGAGTGTAAAACATCTTTAAAAATTCAAAACCTCAGCCGGATGATCATTAAAATCATCATGAATCATAAAAAAAATAATTTTTTTTCTGATTGAGGAAAAGGAATAAAAAAACTACTACAATTTTTCATTTAAAAGCCACTTGAATGAAGCCGCAAATGCACTTAAAACTTCTTCCTTCAAGTGCACAAGCTGACATATGAGATCTGGTGAGTTTCATTGACCGAAAGCTACTGAAAAAAAAGAAGAAAAATTGAGTTGCGAGAGTGGAGATGAATGAATTCCTGGTTTTTAATAAAATCACGTTCAACAAAACGGAGCTCTGGGTCAGATATAAGACCTCTGCAGAAGTCTAGAATGACGTCAATAACAAACAGGAAGTGAGAACGGTTTTTCTTACCAAGTTCCGGAGCAAAAAAGCCTTAAATTTATTGACGGAAGTCAATTAAAATTAATCTTCAACCTAATTTAAAACTTGAATGTGCACACTACTACGTACATTCAATCAATACCTTCAACACTTTCATATTTATATTTATGAATTAATATCTTTGCTTAAATTACAGCAAACATTAACAATATTGAATATAATTAATACAAATAATAAATAATTTATTTTACAAGTTGGATTATGATTAATTAATTCCATTCATATAATAAAATCCGTGAATATTAAAAAATCTTTTATTTACTTGTTTCTTTTCATTATTATTATTATTATAATCACACTATGAAAGAACTCTAAATTAATTAAGAATTGTATTTAATCAATAAATAAATTTATTTAAGAAATATAAGTCGTGTTCAACAAATAACAAATTATGAAGTAACAAAGGAACAAAAAGATAAGTCTACCGGAAGCGATATATTTTCACGGATGAGCATATGCGAAAATGGAGAATTCCCTAGAGATTTATCACAATCTGTTAAAAGCTGTAGAATTTGAATTATTATGTGTAACTTCATCGAAGGATTTTCTCAGAGGACTTGGCTAGATGATCCTAAATAAACACGTGGAGCCACACGACCTGTATCCCCACCCCTAAATACTTGGGTATAGAATACACATGAGCCCTATATATGCTGACAGAGTGTATTCAATTCATCCAGATCAGCCCTTGAGCAAACAAGCCTCTCTACTACAAAGCATTGTGTTGTAGACCAAGAAGAAGTAGGTGGATTCTGAAAGAATCTAAGAATCAACGTATTTAAACTATTTTTCTAACATTTTACATCTCTTTCGTATGAGAAAAAGGATGAATTGAAGGAGGAAAAGGTGCTACCTTTGCCAAGCCTCCCGACGCCCCTGTTCTTAGAATGAATGGTCTTTCATGCCCATTCTCGCAGTTGTTATGTCACCATCAGAGCTGACAAAACGGAAGCAAAACGACCTGAATGTCCGAGAATTCAGAAAAAGACCAAGATGATGATTGATCACAATCGAAGAAAACTGGTTAAAGAAAGCCATTTTGCTTCACGCACGTTCGCAAACACGTTGACGTTTGTGATTTTTTTTTTTCGACAACAGTAATTTGTGATCATCAAGATTGTTTATGTCGAAGCCTATGAGAAGCTGAAAACTGTACGATCGTTCCACCTGGATGATAACCCACCCAACTGGGTGACAGAAAAAAGACAGGAAGATGTTGGAATGTTGATGCAATACGTCAGCATGCGGTTGGCACTTATCACTCTCATCCGAGAATGGTAAAAAGCAATTGGAAAAACTTTAAGTAAAAAAAAAAAAAAGAAACAATTGCTCTCTTATGCCATCATGGTTTTAACCACTTCTGGGAGGTTTCTGCTCGACTTGTTGAAAAGCTACTTGTTATTTTTCACGAGCTGGTTCTTCAAGTGTCACATGATGAGTTATAGGTGGAAATAAAAATCAAGAGAATTCGTCACTTGGATAAATTTCTGCAGCTTTGATGCGAAACAAGACATTCAAGTAAGAGAAACTGGTACTTACTGTTGAGTTTTTAAGTAAGAACAAGATGAAAGGAGCATTCGTCATTATTACCGTTGATCTTCAGGAACTTGTTTGAGTTCTAGCGGAAGTGGGTCGGTCAGATCAAGAGCCTAAGCTGGGCCTTTTCTATTTCTGTTGCTGACCATTCAGGTGTAATGGTCAGAATATCTGAATGTCCTACTATTTTTTTTTCAGGCGTGCGATACCGGATGGATCTTTATTTGATTCATGTTACAGACTACCCGCTGAGGTCTAGATCAGAGGGATCAACTGTGTACGATGATGATAGTTTGCAGAAAGCATATCCTTTGTCAAGATTGATCCTTTGTGTGGCAGGAATTGATAGAGCAGCCGGGATTTGACGATAGAAAATAAATTGAATCATTTGGCTTCTTTGACTATACTTTTTATACACACACCTTATTGAGATGTCTCCGATAAAGAAGTCACTTAATCTATTGATACAAACCTTTTAATAATAAACGAAAAAATCCTTAAATCCTAAACTAACGTGCGTGAGTTTAACTTTGGGAGATGGGCTACAAACAAGCGGTCAAATTGTTGGTTGGGACAGTCAACGCAATCCGGCTAAAGTCAAATATTGGATAAATAAACACTCGAAAAACTTATTCTATTCTCCTAAAAAGTCTCGAAGGTGGTCTGTTATTCAACATTTTTACTCATGAGCATTACAAAAAAATTTTAATCTTGTTATAACAATTTTTTAACATTTCACAGTTAAAATTAAAAAACAAAAGTAATTATCTTGCTTGAAAAAGAATAATTTATTCTGGTCATTCGATATACATTTTAACAAGTTCAACATTAATTGTAAAAAAGTTGAAATAGTAAATATTTAAAGAGGAAGCTACACATACAGCAAGTTCAATGAACCTTTTTATTTGTCTGGACACGAAAAATTAGTTAAACTTGGCCGGAAAACGAATTTCCACTTGTTTTACTAGGACATGATCCAGAAGCATTAAATTTGCCGAGTGCATTTGGATTTAGCTATTGGAATATGTAAATACAGGTGACTATATATTTACATGCCTGAAGTAAAATCAATATCATTAGAATCTGAGTTTATGTGAATGAAGATAAACGATAGAGAGAACCGAAATGATTGAAATTCAAAAATTTAATATTTGGTATCAACAGTACTGTAAAGAAAGAACATCATTATATAATTATCTTCATAAGTTGATCCACTTCAAGACTTTCTTAGGAGCACCGCCCTCTTCTAATCGTAAAATCACTGAAAAATTAACAGAAAAAGTTATTGTGTAAGAGCCTGGGGATGAGAAGCAACTTAAGAAACAAACTGAAACGAAAAGTCGGTCGGTGCCGCCCTCGTACTCCTCCCATCCATCTTGTGCATATATTTTTAGGCAGTCTATTTTTTTGAGTAAAAAGATTTATGATAAATCAGTAATAAGTGTTGTTACGATATCTTTTTTTATGATTAAAAATAATCAGTTATTGCTAAAAAAAATTCAGATGAGTGAATACACAATTTATATCTTGAAAAAAATTGGCAATTTTTTTGAAGTAGAGAAATTTTTTCTCATTTCTTGGAACCTGAGTAGGTGTGATTTCGATCCATTATTATATGATCTAGACCTTAAATTATAGGCCATCTATCAAGTAGCTTGTCAACACCTACATTTTATAGATACGTTTTTGTAAAATTGAAGATCTGAAAATTCATAGAATTGAGAAAAATAATTATATTTTTCTTATTTTTAGGAGTAGCAAAGCAGTTATTTCTTGTATGAATTTGACAGAGTTGATATCAATGAATTTACAATTGTCTTAAAGTTTGATAAAATGTTATCTAATCTCAAAGTCACATAAAATTTATTTCATACGAACAGGTAATATGTGTAAAAAAAATATTTCAAAATCGTGCTATAAGTCACGTCTTCCATTTAAATGGATGATATATAATAAAGCTATGAAGTCTTATTAAAGTTGTAAGAGTCCTTAATTCAATCCATTTGCTTCCAGTTGATTTATTCTACTTAACCGAGATCCCGCAGCTGTGAAGGTAATTGGAGATTCAATTGCATATTAAAGTTATCTTAGAGAGCTTGCAATCACAATTTTTATATATTTTGTGTTACATATTATTATTCCAGTTAAAAATGCGGAAATTTCTCAATCTCTTAATAGTTTTCCTCTGTTGGGTCACATTATTTTCTAAATTATACATCGTCGACTCTGCACCAGTGATGTCATCATCACCAAACCAACAAGGCTGGAGTAAACATCTAATACTATCAAGGGCGTGGGGTTAAGGGAGGGAGTGTATAAAAAAATGGAATATTTGTTAATACATTTCTTCATCATTTACGTGATCAGTATTTAAACTCATTATTCACTTATGTCTCTTATTTATCAGTGTAATTAGTGTCATAGTTTGGAGTATAGAAGGATCATAAGCTGAACGAAGGAATTTCTAAGAAATAATTTTAAACAGAATGAATAAAAGAGTGGCGTGAGGAGAGGTAGGATAAAGGCTAGTGTGTGATTTTGCGAGCTGTCTAGTTTAGCTGGAAGGCGTCTTAAGCAACTAAACAAGCGGCAGGCAGTTCTATCAAGCGTCTGGAGTTGATCGTGAGAAAACACTAAGCCCACGACATATGTTAACCGATGCACTATCTTTCAGAAACTATATTTAATATTGTGTACATAAAATTTATCGTGATATAAGCCACCAAACTGCAGCATACAAATATTTACTCTAATCTTGATTTATAATATTAGAGGGCAGACGTGTCGTTTGTTATGTCAGCCAAAAAATAATTTAGCGCGACGAATAAGAGAATTAGTGGTCGTGTCCACTTGTTGGACTGATGACCCACCGAGTTTTGATGAGCGCTTGTTCATCAAAAGAGGCGTGCCGTGAATAAAATTGCAAAAACAACACACATCTTTCATGAAATATGCTTACTTTGTTAACAAAAAGTCTCAAGTTATTTTTGATGTAATGACAGAATTTAACAAGGTGAAGGTTGTGGCTTTTGTTAGTTGGCTGTGTTTTCTCCAGTTAAGAGTTGTACCTGGTAGAAAATAAATCATAAATAACTGCATGACATATAAGCTGATCTACAACTTGGTTGATTTGTCGCCAGCTGCAACACTTGGCTTGACGCCTCGTTAATTCATTCGCTCGGCGACAGTTGACGGCTGGACCAAGTGCCAAATGAGATAGTCAAGGAGCGTCATTATTCATTCCACATTTCATTAGGCTGATAGGAATATTGAAAATATTCTAAATAAACCCTGTGATTTACCTAAAGATTTTTGTGCTCATCATCAACATAAGAAGTAAATGGTTGGCTGAAAAAAACATCATTATAACATACACTTTTGAAGTGGTATTATAGTCATTCATTTTATTTTTTATGCACACTTGACAGTCTGTAGGATTTAAATTTCGTAACTTTATTGATGATTAATGTTTGGATAAAAAACTTACTAAACTCTATTTTTAGAAAAAATTTTTAGTTAAATTCTAATTCATAGAATAAATTTTTTTTATTTTCATTTTATTCTGATCAAATGATGTTAAGCTTTGATAAAAAAATTATCCATAAAGGCGCTAATAACGTAGTCACTTGCACAAAGAATAACGTGAATATAACGTATAATTATCATTAAAATCGACCTTATAAGATCTATTAAATAATAAAAAGGAATAATAGATTATTAGGAAAAAAGAAAATAGCAGAAAAATGGATTAGTTTAACGTGGAAAAAAAAAATTAATTTATGACATTACACAGCATGTTTAATGATATATTTTTTTTTCTGATGTGACATTAAATATATAAAATCGTTACAATAGTTTTATTTATAATATATTCGAGCTATAATATTAAATTGTGCTGAATCATACATTGTAGCATAATAAAATTCAATTAGTGATTTAATTCATAAAAAAAAATGCTTTAATTTTTATAACAGTTATTGATCACTGTAGGAATAATAAATTTATGCTTATTTATAAATAAATATTTGTTTTTCATTTTATTCAATTCATTTTGATTGAACGAAAGTTTTTTGAATTTTCTTTTTCATTTCCCTGTGTTTACGATTTCTTGATGTCATGGCACTATCAAATCTGATAATTTTTCTAATTTTACGAGATTTTTTATCCATATATATCTCAAAAACAAAACACACTAATCCTAAACTACTCCCAATAATTAATAACATAAAAGCAAATTTAATATCAATTAAATTGATAGGGCGAAAATCTGTTTGCGATCGAACTGATCGTCTTAAAATATGAACACGAGTCATTTCTCTTTGTTCGTGGAGTGCATGATAAAGAATTCGAGTCTCAGTTAAAACCATTAAGGCCCAATCAAATCGTTCTTTGAATATAAATCGTTCACGATACAAATAAACCATAGGCATTGTAGCTAGTCTATTTTTACTAATATATAGAGAATCTTTTATTTCAAGTGCATTTTCAAACCATTCGATTGGCCCTATACAAGCCGAATTTTTGTCATTATACGTAAAAATTATACAAGATGTAACGTCAATAGTTTTCGTCTTTTTTACTAATATTTCTTGATTTTTAACATTGTCATAATTAAAACCAACTGTATAAATTTTTGTAATACGTGGGTTTATTAAATCTTCAAGTGAATCAATATTTTTTCGAGATTTTGGGACTGTCAAAAATTCAGCTAAATGCCCACTAAATAAAGCCTGAATTACTAAAAAATATATAAATACCACCGTGAAAAATATCTTAAGAGGTAAAGTATTTATTAATACAAAAACCCCATTATTTGTTAACAATCGAAGGATATCAAAACACGCAAAAGAAATATTTTTAGTAGTTTTCAACCAAACGACTAGAAATGTTATTATCATCATAATTAAAAGTGATAATAGAGTATAAAGCCCAAAAAAATTGATAATTTTTTCTAACGGAGTATTGAAACCTTGATTGGTTGAAAGAATAGCAAGATCATAACGCGTCGCAGGATAAGAAACATCTACAAAATTACGTAATTTATCAACTGGATCTTCACCGAAATTAACATCAATTGAATTACTTGTAAACATTGACCAGAAAACTTCATAGCTGTAATTTGCAAAAAAAATTCTTTTCTCGATATATTTTATTTTAATTTTTAGTAATTTTATGATGGCAATTACATCTTTTCTTCTATCTGATTCCATTTTCGTATCGATTTCCGACCCATCATAAACTGTCTCTCCTACGATACGAACATTGCTCACATGTGCTAATTCTCCGAATAAAAAATAACCATTATCTAACGGATTTGTTCTGTTGAAAACAAATTCTTGACAAATTTCTGTTTGATGTAAATAAAAAAAATTATTTATACGTGATTATAAAAATTTTTTTAACAATTAGTTCAAAAGTATTTGTACCTTTATGTAAATTCCGACGATAAAGAACCCAGTCATTGTAACGTAATTTGCTTTGTTTAATTACTTGCCAAAGTGGTGGTCCAGTATCTCCATACAAATCGTGAGTATAAATGACAGGATCTACAGAGTTCTCCACACATATAAAGTATGCCAAACTCACAGTCATCATAGCCATTTTTGTCATAATCATTTCAACGTTACTACAAGCAAAATCTTTGGATTTGCTAATGAAAATCATTGTACAATTCTTTTCACAATGCCATCTTGAAAAATTATTTTTACTTAAAATTTCCCACTCCTTATTCACATCTATAGCAGCTATTATTCCTTGATAAATTTTATGATTTGCAAGATAATTTTGTTGGTCTTCTTGTGCTATTGATTTTATAGACACAACAATAGATGGTTGCAAAACTTTGAGAGTTGATAAAATTGATGATGTATTTCTATTGTCGTATAATAAAACATTTTTGAGTTGCAGATGACAATTGTTTAATAATTCAATCTAAAAAACAAATGATGTAGAAGAATCGCAACAGATATTAAAATTCAAAAACTTTACCACTGTTTTATCAATGTCATCCATTAATTGTCTTTCGTTATTTAGATGATAAATATTTGCTTCTGAATAGCTGTATAATTCAAGAACACTGAACAAGAAAAAAACTAAAGGTTTCGATGACATTTTCAGATGTACCTATGGAGGTGCCAATACTTTTAATGCTAACAACTGAATGCAGAATATAACATCGTTTATAACAATATGAATCAATTTAATAACAATAAAATCCAACTTTTACTTTTTATTGATGTTTGTTTTTTTATTCTATTTCATGTGGGTATGAATTTAAAATAATAGTCTATTTGATGAACTTGAAATCAATAAAAAATAATGACACGTATGATTATAACGATTCTTCAGTAGAACTTTTAATATATGTATATATTTTTATTTAAAGATGTTTTTTGTATTCTATATCAATTCTCAAACAATTTTTAAACGAAAGATTAATCGCTAAACTTTCAATTACATTTGAACATTATTAAACATTATAATTGTTGACACAAACCTGGCAATTTTTACCTGACTGGCATGGAAATTATTCTATTTTTATATATATATATATAAAATAAAAGCAATAATAAACGATTAGAAAAAAGAGTAGAGTAGAAATATGGATTAGTTTAGCAATCCAAGCAGAAATTTAGAACCACTTATAGACCACCCTTAGTATCCGGTGCTCGATACCCTGAATTCCTATGCAAAATAACCACAGAGGTGGTAAAAAAATCGCTTACTATGCAACACACTGCTGTTCGGGTCCCTTGGGGCCTTTAAAAATTGTATTCAAGATGAGCACGAAAGAACCTTCATGAAAGGGCCCCCCGGAGACGAGAGGGCATGATTATATGTGTCTTTTTTAACACAAAAGGCTCGAAAACCAACACGATAATATGCTGGGACTGGCGCGCCCTGTAATCTATCCACAAGTTGTCCGTGATGGGACAGCCATTTTTTAAATTGCAATAGCTTCACGAAGCAAATGAGGAGCACAGGTTGGACTCGATCGTTCGATCGTTTGACATAATTTGCCTTCAGGCGTATCATTATTTGCTTTACTAAAAATATCACAGTACTTATCGAGTAAACATTTCATTTCACCAGCAGCCATCAACAGTCGAGGGATATTATTGAAATCAAAGCAAAAAAATGTTTACTTAATTGTCAGCTGGTACAGTTGATTCTTGCATTTCTAATCCACTCATAATTTATCACAACAATTGAAAGTAAACATAAAATAATAATCGTGTGATGAATAAGGTAATTTTTCAATTCAAGTGTAGAAAAAAAATTTCTGAGAAAAGGGCAGCTATAAAACCTATATGAAAAGATAATTGATTTCACCTGCCATGTAAATATTGGCTATATCC